TAAATCAAAATCACAATGACAGTCTCAGAGAATGGGGAGGTGGGAAGAGAGGGAGAGAGATGAGAGAAACAGCTGGTCAGTTGGAGCAGTCAGAACACATTTATTTATCAATTATGTTTGCCATTTTATATGGGCACAGTTTGTGGTACCTCAAAACAATTACAGCAGTAACATTAGAGATCACTGATCACCATAATACATATAATACCAATGAAAAAGTTTGAAATGTTTTCAGAGTTATCAAAATGTGACAGAGAAACACAATTCGAGCACCTGCTGTTAGAATAATGACACCAAGGGATTTGCTTGATGCAGGGTTGTCACAAACCTTCAATTTGTAAAAAATCACACTATCTGCTAAGCACAATAAAGTAAAACACAATAAAACAAAGTATGCCCATATACCTTGTGTGCTGACATGGAAAGATATCTGCAAATAGGGAATTATATTTTAATAGTCAAAGAGTTCTAAAGTTGGAATAGAGCTCAATTGACATCCAGATTGCAATGTTTTTGTAACTTTAGATGAGTCATATTATGTTTTTCTGCTTGTGAACATTAATCTTGTATCTCACTGATTCATAGACACATATTTTCTCCACATATTTTAGCATCTCTAAAATTAGGGCATGTCTTAAAATAAGCAGAATTTTAGATTCCCAAACAACAATACAACCTGTTTTTGTTTTTTTTTCTTTGAGACAGAGTCTCTGCTGCCCAGGCTAGAGTGCCATGGTGTCAGCCTACCTCACAGCAACCTCAAACTCCTGGGCTCAAGTTATCCTCCTGCCTCAGCCTTCCAAGTAGCTGGGACTACAGACATATGCCACCATGCCCAGCTAATTTTTTCTATATATTTTTAGTTGTACAGCTAATTTCTTTTTCTTTTTAGTAGAGATAGAGTCTTGCTTTTGCTCAGGCTGGTCTCGAACTCCTGAGCTCAAATGATCTGCCCACCTCGGCCTCCCAGAGTGCTAGGACTACAGGCGTGAGCCACCACACCTGGCCAATACAACCTGTTTTAAAATTATTTATCATAACCAAATGGTAACATTTGGGATTATCTTTGGAATTTTTATAAATCTCTTTAAAGGATGGTTCCTAATTTTCAGGTGAAATTAGTTTTTTCATTAGTTTCTGGACACTACTGAACTGTTATTATTTTTTCTTATTTTCCTTTTAAAATCATATCTCAGTTTTTTTAATTCACATTTTATCTCAATTCTCATATAACTGTTGGGCTCTAAGATCTCTACAATCTCAACACTACTGGCAAATATACTAAAATGCATTCAAATGGTGCTATGCTTCACAAAAAGGGTACTCATCATTTTGAAAATAAAATGCTATCTAACTTGTTGTTTCTTTTTACACATAAAAACAGTATTATCTTCCTCATACATTTCATAGTCTTTCCTAACAGGTTAGTTTAAAACTTTTAACCACTGAAATAACCATCAAAGGTCACAGCTAAATTTATATATGAACCAAGACCTTAAACTTCCTAGTTTGAATGAATATTTTGTTTGGGAGTTTTCTTTAACAATTAAAACAAGTGTGACCAGGCATGGTGGTTCATATCTGTAATCCCAGCAATTTGAGAGGCTGAGGCAGGAGGATTGCTTAAGCTTAGGAGTTTGAGACCAGCCTGGGCAACACAGCGAGATCCTGTGTGAAAAAAATGAAAAAAAAAAATTAGCCAGGCACAATGGTGCACACCTGCAGTACCAGCTACTCAAGAGGCTGAAGTGGGAGGATCACTTGCGCTTAGGAGTTTGGGACACTACTGCACTCCATGCTGGGCAACAGAGTGAGATTCTGTCTCTAAAAAAATAATACTTTTTAAAAAAAAATCCTTCTCATTATTTTTATACACCTGCTGCAATACATTGAAAATCATTTCACTCACCTTCAAACTCTAATGCTATCAGCAAAACATAAAGCATGCAAATGATTAGATCATCTTAACTAATTAATAGCTTCATGCAACAGAATTAATCTCAGTTTTAGTTTTAATATTATAGACTAGATTTTGAATGCATTCTAATATATATCTATTTTTGAAAAAAGCATTTTATTTCTGCAACAAAACAATATGCAAACTACCTCATGTTTCTCATACTATCTCTAAATTCACACAGAAAAGGTAAATACACTGTATTGAAGGTGTAAATACCATTTTTAAAATATCTATTAAGTCACATGAATATTGCAGGAATGAGATTCAAATGCTATCTTTTCTCTCTCTGTTACCACAGATTTAAATGTTATGATTTAAAGGATTCAGTATGATTCAAAATCATTCAATATGATTCAAAATCATTCAATATGATTCAAATGCTATCTTTGCTTTCTCTGTTACCATAGACTCTAAGTATAATAATCTAAGATATAAATTTTTAAATCTTCACTGCTTATTTCAAAGAATGTGATTTGAGTATTTGAAAAGTTCATATACCTAAGAAACAACATGTTTCATAAGAGTATTCATAATTTGAAAGTATTATTTCTTTCTAATGACTACCAGTATTTTTTGAAACTCGTATTTGTCTAGAACCTCAATATTTATTTTAAAAGAGAAATGAAAATCAAACTTGGCTCAATAGCTCATGCCTATAAACCTGGCACCCTGGGAGGCCTAGGTGGGAGGATTGCTTGAGCTCAGGATTTGAGACCAGCCTGAGCAAGAGTGAGACCCCAAGACACAAAAAATAGAAACATTAGACAGGTATGATGGCAAGTGCCTGTAGTTCCAGCTACTTGAGAGACTTAGAAAGGAGGATCGCTTGAGCCCAGCAGTTTGAGGATGCAGTGACCTATGATGATGCCACTGCACTTTACCCATGGCGACAGAGCAAAATTCCATCGAGAGAGAGAGAGAGAGAGAGAGAGAGAGAGAGAGAGAGAGAGAGAAATGAAAATTAAACACTACTGGTCTTAGAGGATAAAACTATTTCAAGATCTTTTTATAGGAGAGAGAGAAAGAAAATAAAGCTGACACAAAATGACACTTGAAAATGGTGGTGCTATGAACTTTACAAATATTTATAGTTCTATAAGTAATGAATAAAAGAGAGAATAGTATAGTTCAGGATTAGACATCAGATTTTTGTAAATTATAAGAGCTCTTTTTCTGTAGACATAATTTTGAAGTTACCAGATGAGAAAGGATGGGAACTATGATATACATTTCCCATTTCTATTTAATTAAATCCAACATGTTCTTAACTTTTTACAGAAGCACTAACATTGGAGAGAAATGTACACTTCTCACTTCACCAATAGATTTGTGCTTTTATATACATATACATGTAGTTCCTTTTGTATGTATTTCAAGAATACCCCCAGAATCAGAACAAACTAAATTCTTCATTCTTGCTAGCTTTTTCAAGAAATATTATGCTGTCTTATTATGAGGTCTAGAAATATTAACTATGTAATGTACTATTTTTTTTTTTTTTTTGAGACAGAGTCTCACTTTGTTGCCCAGGCTAGAGTGATTGCCGTGGCATCAGCCTAGCTCATAGCAACCTCAAACTCCTGGGCTCAAGTGATCCTACTGCCTCAGCCTCTCGAGTAGCTATAGGCATGCACGGCCATGCACGGCCAATTTTTTTGTATATATATTTTTAGTTGGTCAATTAATTTCTTTCTATTTTTAGTAGAGACGGGGTCTCTCTCAGGCTAGTTTCGAACTCCTGACCTTGAGCAATCCGCCCGCCTTGGCCTCCCAGAGTACTAGGATTACAGGCGTGAGCCACCATGCCCGGCCTGTACTGTACTTCAGAATTCAATGTCTAGGAACCACATTAATAACATGAGAAAATAATTCCATGTCACATGAGTTTGCTGTAACTAAATGTGAACTAAATCATCAGCATACTCATATACAAAGTTCATCAAATAGATATTTAAATTTATTTTAGTATAGGGTACCCTACTTTACCCAACCCCCAAAAAAACTTACTTCCTAAAAATATTTCATTACTAATCTCTAGTCCAGCCAATTAAAACTTTTTAAAAGTTATATGCATAGCTTTTTCATTTCATAAAAATTATTTCTTCAAATATCCTCTAACACTTCCTGTACTATCTCTCTGGGCATTTAAAATAAGCTCTTAAGAACTTTCCTAATAAGCCAGAGCCACACAGAAATCACTATCCACTCTAAGCTGGATTATGTTTTATTTTATTATAAATGTGCTTATTCACTAGAATTACTATTCAATTAAAATATCATTGTCTATTCGTCTCTGCTTAATAACTTTTCATCTATCTATCCTCTAATTATTTACTAAGCTTCCGTATATAACAAGCACTGTTCTAGGGCACTGGAGAAAATAAGTGAAATATCTGCCTTCAAGGAGTTTATAGTCATTGGGCATTCAGGATGAACAAGAGAATTCTCAATTATCTTGTAGTCCAGAAAGAAATACAGGCAAATAAATGGACAATTATTATAGCATATATTAACTCCCTATGAAGGTATAAGTTGGGGATGCTAAGGAAATAGCTGGAAAAACAGCCTAACCTTGTAGAAGCATATCAAAGAAGACAATTAGAGGAAATGCAGTTAAAAACTGAGCCTATAGGACAAATATAAGTTAATTGGAGGAGTGTAGGGGGATACTTCTAGCCACAGGGAATGGCAGGTGAAGCCAAGAGGTAAGAGAATTCATGCAGAAGTGAGGGAACCACAAAGAGCCTATTATCAGTGGTCAAAGAGTTTGGAGAGCTAGTGGAGAGAGATGATGCTGTATACTACTAGTTCTATATCTATCCAACATTATCTCATCTATAGTCAGTTTATATTGAAATTACATGGTTTAAAAAGTTGGATGTTTTTCTAAAATATTTCTTACAACTGCATGTGAATCTACAATTATCTCAAAATATAAAGTTTAATTTTAGAAAGGTAGGTAAACATTTTTAAAAACAGATTAGAATTAAACTTTTAAGTATAATTTCAGTAAGAAAATATAATTCTTTGGTTTCCTGATTCCAATAATCTCATAAGAGTGAGAAATTTAGGTAAAAAATTAATATTATATAGAAATCCAAATTAACAATAGAAATCATGTTTATCTAGATCTAGATATCTAGATCTAGAAATAGATATTATTTTTATCTACTTTTTAAAGGTGTTGATCTATTCAGGTTGTTCTCCCAAAAGGAAGCATTAGGGAAAATGAACTTGAAATTGCTGTTATTAGCAAAAAATTTTCTGACCAGTTTCAGTGGCTGGAAACTGTATGGTTTCCAGCTGGAAAGAATGAGAGCTTTATGTCGGTTTCAAATCCTGGATCTGCCACTTTCTTCACCTTCTAGGAGGTCTTTTAACATAAAATTTGTGATAATATTCTATCCTGAAAAAATGAGGTACAGGGATGGACTCTAATAACGTTAGTTGATCCAAGGGCCTACACAGCGATTTCTAGAGATTCACAGTTAATTTGACTTTTGTCCTGGATAATTGGCACTAAGTTCAGACATGTGCTTGGACCAGGTTGTGATTTTGTGGGAAGCTAAGGATGATCAGAAAACTGTGTTCATGTCCAAGCACAGAGATCTACACTACCACAATAAATATCGTTTAACCCTGAGACAAATAGAGTTCATCTAGCCACATGAGATGGTTCCCTCCAATATATCCAAATCGATATATTGCTCTAGCCTTTTGTACACAAAAGATTGGGACTGAAGGAGAATGGTTGAATTTCCAGATGTTTTAACATGACCCTTACTTACTGGAAAATATCATTTGCAACTACTGTGTATACCCTAGCAAGAATTTTGAGGTCTGGGACTATACTACTGATCTTTCTAGCTATGGCACACTTTCATCTGTTTCCTTTAGATTTTTTTAGAACTTTACTGAAGTAAAATTGACATAGAATAAACTGCACATATTTAAAGTATACAATTTGATAAAGTATATAATTTGATAAAGTATACAATTTGATATACCTATGAAACTATCACCACAATCAAGATAAGGAACATAACCATGACTCATAACCATTAACCCCTTGTAATCTCTATTCCTTGTCCCTCCCTCCTTCTTGCTCCTTCACCCCATCAAGGCAAGCAATGATCTACTTTCTGACAGTATACATTAGTTTGAATTTCCTAGAATTTTACATAATGAAATCATATAGTATATACTCAAGTTTATCTGACTTCTTTCACTCAGCATAATTATTTTCAGATTCATCTGTGCTACAGTGTGCATCAGTAGCTCATTGCTTTTTACTGTGTAAGTCTTTGATTATATGGATATGCCATACTTTGTTTACCCATGCACCTCTTGATGGACTTAGGGTTGTTCCTAGTTTGGGGCTACTACAACTAAAGCTGCTATGAGCATTCACATGCAAGTCTTTGTATGAACATATACTTTCATTTCTCTTGGTTAAATACCTAGGAGTGGAATGGCTGGATCATATGTTACCTGTATATTTAACTTTAAGAAACTGCCAAACTATTTTTCAGAGTGGTAGTATCATTTTACATTAGTACCAGCAATGTTTGAGAGTTCCAGTTGCTCTACAGCTTTTCCAACACATAGTATGGACAGTCTTTTTAATTTTAGCCATTCTAACAGGTGTGTAATGGTATCTCATTGTAGGTTTATTTGCATTTCTCTAAGGACTAATCATGTTAGGCATCTTTTCATATGATTATTTTCCATTTATATATTTTCTTTGATAAAGTGTATGTTCAAAACTGTTACCCATTTTTTAACCGAGATGCTTGTTTTCTTATTACTAAGTACTGCAAGTTCTTTATATATTCTGAATACAAGTTCTTTCTCAGATCATGCTTTGCAAATATTTTCTCTCAGTCTGTACCTTTTCGTTCTCTTAATGCATATACCTTTTGTGTCTTTTGAAGAAGTTTTTAATTTTGCCAAAGTCCAAATCAATGTGTTCTTTTATAGCTCATGCTTTTGGTGAAATCTTAAACTCAATGTCACAATGAAAATTCCTCTTCGGGCTCTGGCCCTTTCCTCACAGGTACCTGCTGCAAATAACAAGCCAAGAAAAATTCACCTCATATACAGATGAGCAATGAATCAATCAATCGATAGAACAGCACAGGATCCATATAAAGCATTACTGGAAATATAAAGAGAAAAATAAATAGGAAAAACAAATGGCAAAGGAAGAATAATTTCTCATCAAGCAATATAGTACATCTACACATGAAATTTAAGGCAGCTATAAAAATGAATAAACAAGCTCTTCATGTACAGATACACTGTTTAATGAAAATAGCAAGGAGCAAAACAGTAGGTACCCACCGTATATCTAAGAAAGGGGAAATACATGTAGATGTTTAGTTGTATATAAATAAATTTGGAAAAATACACAAGAATCTTCATATATTGGCTGTCTCTAGAAAGGGCAACTGGGCAGATGGGTCACAGAGGTGAAAGAAGAAAGACTCTTTACTATATACCCTACATATCTTTTGAATTTTCAGCCAGGTTAATGTATTGCTTTTACAAAAAATTAAATCCCCAAAAAACTGAATGACAATTGTAGTCCTTTCAACAATTATTTAATTATTGTGATGCAAGAAAGTGATCAAGTCATTGCTTTCTAAGACTAAAATATCTCTCTTAAAAAGTACAATTGCTCATGAAAGAATGAAAACTTTACTCAGGTCTCCACTAAAACTCAAGATCCTCTGCCTTCAGAAATATATGCTTCATTCTGTTACTATTTGGTAATAATATGGTGGAAAGTACAATCTACTAATCGAGAAAAATTAATTGACATAAGAAAGTCCCAGCTATCCAACAAAAGCAACTAAATGTCAATATATATAATACCAATAAATAATACTCACTATAAGCCAGAAACTATCCTGAGTGCTTTACATGTATTATCTCTTTTAAATCTCACAACCATCTATTAAATAAATGCTATTCCAGGCATGGTGGTGCAAGCCTGTAGTCCCAGCTACTCGGGAGGCTGAGGCAGAAGGATCTCTTGAACCCAGGAGTTTGAGGTTGCTGTGAGCTAGGCTAATGCCACAGCACTCTAGCCCAGGCAACAGAGTGAGACTCTGTCTCACACACACAAAAAAAAGTAAATAAATGCTATTATTATTATCATTTTACAAATGAGGAAACTAAGGGCAGAGAGGTATTGGCCATGTTAAACAGCAAATTAAGTTGTGGAGCCTCATATAAAGGCAGGCAGTCTGACATCAGGACCTGGGCTCCTAAGCATTATGACATCTGGCCTGTCCTACACATTTCATTACGCTAGGTACCATAAAGTTCTAAACAGATAGTCTTATGTACTGTTCAGTAATTCACATTTATAAACTCTAAGACTCTTAGATTTTAAATTATTTCATTTAAATTTTTATATATCTTTGAAAACATGGGGATCTTACTTGTAGACAGAATGTAATCCTAAGAGTATAAATTAAAGCAATCGACAAAATGCAAAATCCTAACCTCCTGAGTTTTGTGCCTTGATTACATATTAATAAATTACTCTCTTTAATTCAGAAGTCAAATGAATGTATAGGTAAAAAAGGCATTTTTTAAAAAAATGTACATAGTTCATTATTGAGCACATAGAAGAATAGAGCAGAAATATGTGGAGGGCTAAATGTGAAATTCTGCAGGGTGAAAAAAACGCCTGCATATTTATGCTATTTTACTAATAATGAGATTTCATTAGTGACCTCCAGATGCAGTGGAAGAGATTTTTTAATAGATCTTCTTTCTTTTGATTAAATTTGGCTAATTTTTTTGAATTTGTATTCAGATTGTTTTCCAAATCTATAAAAAAAATCTGATTTTTTAAAAAAATTATTTCATTATTAGTATGAAAGGTATTAGAAGGTCAAGTATAGTTTTTAGCCATCTGTTCCCACTATGCAATCCACATCTCTTCATAAACAGAGACAGTTTTACCTACCATACCCTGCAATTGAGGCACATAATCATACCAGCTGCCTAACTATGCCAAGCTTGCCTGCTATGCAAACAGCTCTTCTTTCTCTGAATTAATTATGACCACTGGACCAATTTAATACAGTGCTTCTCCAACATTACCTTTGCCAACTTTGACAGCTGTTGCAAGAAAGTGTACAATGCATACATACACTGCTGCTCACAGCCTACTCTCAATTGTGGCTGTGAAGAATATCTCTGAATAATGTACTGCTCCAAAAGAATGTAAGCAATTGGAGGTTTAAACATCATCAATATCATAGTATGGCTCACTAGAAGTTACAGTAATTGGTAAATACAAACACAAAGTCATTTCACTTTATTACATGTTTTGGATATGATTTTAAACCCAGTAAGAGCCATTGAATCAAGGACTAATATTTAATATATAAATAACATGTGTTATAAACCTTACTAACAGAATGTTTGAAATAATTAGAATAACCAAGAAATTACTAGTGATTGAGTTGAAACCAAATTGCCTTTAGCTCAAACTTCTCTTAACCTCAAACATCCAGAAAATACCCACAAACTTTTATACAAGGAAGAAAATAAAATAATCTATCTCAGTGTTAATAAAAATATAAGCTACATATGCAACATTCAATTTTCTAATAGCCATATTTGAAGAAGTAAAAAAGGTAAAATTTATATTTTAATAACATATTTTATTTAACCCAATAAATCTAAAATAAAAATTATTTTAACATGTAATCACTATAAAGATTATTAATAAGAAATGTTATTTTATTTTTTTAAAAGAATCTTTGAAATCCAGTGTGTATTTTACATATATAGAACATCTTAATTAGGGAACTAAATTTTAATTAAAAATATTTAATCTATATTTAGATTTTATAAAATGGACTTGGGAAAAGTATTCACATATCTAAGTTGTTCCAAACATACTTCAAAGTTTTCCAATATCATAATCATGTACCACATAAATACCTTCTTTTATTCTCATACACACTGACAAAATTGGTTCATCTTTTTAAAATCACTGATTTAACTCAGAAGCAGAAGCATACCATTTTAAAAACTATGACTGAACAGTAAGTAAATTCATTAAAACCACAATGAGATATGATCAAAATTATTCTCTACCTTAACTAAGGATGATGGAATTGTTCTGTATTTTGATTGTGTAGTGGTTATGTGAAATGTGCATCTGTCAAAACATCTACTCTGTATTTTAAATAAATTCATTTTACAGAAATTATACTTAAGTAAAGTCAATTTGAAATACCATTGGTCACCTATCCAATGGACAAAATATTCAAAAGCTTGACAACAACTTTATTGGAAAGTTATTGGGAAATAGTCACTCTCATGATGTGTGTATGAGTATGTAAATTGGTAGAAAAAATCAAAGAAAGGGATTTGACAATATTTAACAAAAGTACATATGTATTTTCCATATGATGCTACTTCTAGGAATTTACTCTGAAAAAATACCTCCACAAATATGAAACAACATATGTACATTATTCAATGTAGTATTATTTGTCAGAGCAAATATTAGAAACTATCTAAATGCATTTCTATGGAAATTGAATAAATTATAGTTCACCAACTTAAATGATATAAGAAATAAGGAAGCTATAAAAAAATAAAGAAGATCTATGAACAGATATGGGATGATTACTAATACTATTAAGCAAAAAAGTATATACAAACGAATATATACAGTGTGATACTTCTGTATAAAAAAAGTGGAAATGAGACTATGAAAAAAAAAAATATATATATATGTACTAGTTTTCTGGAAAATGCAACAAAGGGAGAATAAACAAAAAACCAATGACATTTATTATTCATAGAGGGTATGTGGAAATAATAAAGAAGGGATATGGAACAGAGACTTCCCTGAGTATACTTTTCTGTAGTTTTTTAAATTTTTGTAGATGTGATGAAATTAAATATGTTGAGTTAAGGAGATTATCCTGTATTATATGGGTGGGCCCAATCTAATCACAAATCCTTAACATTTTCCCCAGGACAGCTGAGTCAGAGAGATGAGACTGAAAAAGGAAGAGAAAGCTTAAAAGGGAAATCAACCCACCATTGCTAGCTTTGAAAATGGATGAAAATGACCACAAGGGAAGGAATGTGGACAACCTACAGAAGATAGGAACAGCCATATGCTGGCAGCCAGCAAGGAAACAGAAATCTCACATCTATGAACACAAAGAACTAAATTCTACCAACAAACCAAATGAACAGAAAACAGATTTTCTCTAGAGACTCCAGAAAGGAATATGGTTGGCCAATAACTTGATTTTATCCAGTGAAAAACGTACCAAACTTCTGACCATCAAGATTGTAAAATAAGGCTGGGTGCGGTGGCTCACACCTATAATCCTAGCACTCTGGGAGGCGGGCGGATTGCTCAAGGTCAGGAGTTCAAAACCACTCTGAGCAAGAGCAAGACCCATCTCTACTACAAATAGAAAGAAATTAATTGGCTAACTAATATATATAGAAAAAATTAGCCGGACATGGTGGCGCATGCCTGTAGGCCCAGCATACTTGGGAGGCTGAGGCAGGAGGATCGCTTGAGCCCAGGAGTTTGAGGTTGCTGAGAGCTAGGCTGACTGCCATGGCACTCACTCTAGACTGGGCAACAAAGAGAGATGTCCAAAAAAAAAAAAAAAAAATTGTAAAATAATAAATTTGTGTTGTTTTAGGCCACTCAATTTGTGGCAATTTTTCATGACAGCAATAGAAACTGACAGAGATTTCCAAAGTATCTACTCCTCTACAGCCCACCACCCAATGCCTTTCTCCCAGTCTTTTTTTTTTTCTGAGAGAGTCTCACTCTGTTACCTGGGCTAGAGTGCCGAGGCATCAGCATCTGTGTTAACTTAGTCATTAAAAGTAATTTAAAATTATTAATTATAGGGAAAACAATACATCTTAAAACCACATCTCTGCTGTCCTCATAGCTGTGTCAATATAAAAAATAAATTAATTAATTAAATAAACACATTTTTCACCAATATTTGGTTATTAACGTTTACAATGCTAAAAGTGGTAAAAACTT